CAAAGCACAGAAATTATTTAATAAATCAATATAACAGTTGAGATGCCAATTGGAGAACTGTTCACTATTGCAGTTCTTAGGAAAAGAGAGTTTTCAATAATTGTCAGGGAAATATTTTTAGATGGTTTTCTATTGGGATAATCAAAATAATGGAAAGTAATGGTTTTTACTCTGAATATTGCACTAAAAAGAGTGGGAAAGGGAGAGAAGGAGTCAGAGGGGGGAAAGAAAAATCTTACCTAGGAGGAAAGGAGTAGCTTGTGTGGAAGTTAATGAGGCTGAAGAATAGGCAAAACTAATGGACAAAAGAATGAGTTTACAGACAAGGAAGGGTGCATATTCACAGAATTTCTCCACAAAAGATGTGGTGCCAGAGAGACAGAAACCAACACTGGGACTAGTGGACAATGAGGATGAGTTATGGGGAAATGGAATGAAAGGGTGAGTTCTTGTATCATTTTAATTTTGGTATTCTGACATTAACTTTTTCTGTAGCTCAAGGTACGATGCTGAACATCTGTATACTCACACTCATATAAAACAGGGATAAAAAAACCTGCATTTGTGCTAGTTAACTAGGTAATCTTTGTAAAATTATGTAGATCCTCATATGAACTGTTCCTTGAGCTGGATTTTTGGTACCTTTGGTGTTTGGGTAGTGTCCTACAGTGGTAATAGTTCTGCTTTTATCTGTTTTAATATTGTGGAGCAATATGTTCTCTAATGAACAGAGGTTATTAGGACCAGTATGTACATAATGGAAACAGTATGGATTGGTAATAATATTTGAGAGCATGACACAAAACTTTAATACCTTACTAATATGAAAAATACTTTTTGCTGTGCAGTAGTGCACCATATGTAGTGTACTTTTGTGATTGAAGCCTCACGGTATCTTGAAATAGTGATATTGAAAGAGAATAATAGCTCATTAAATATTTGTGATGATAAGACTTAAGTGTTTCAGACTTAAGTGCCTTTTAGGTTGAAATCTCTCTGTACTTCACAAACTATGATCCTGTGATGCCATTTGAATTCAGACAAATCTGGGGGTAAGATGAGCAATTTCTAGGACACAGCAAATAGGAAGAGATAGAAATCTGTTTTACAAACATTGTTGAAGTCCCATAAGCATACAAACAGAAAAATAGAAGGAAGGTGATTTTTGAGCATTCATATAATGAGGGGTATCACTTGAGGATTAGAGAAAGAAGATCACATGAGCACTCAGTAATATTCTTTGCCAGCATGGCCTCCTTGCTTTCTGAAGTCAGCAGCACAGTTCTGTCAGTGCATTTGTGATACCAATTACACTGATTATGTTTAAATTTATTACTTTATTAATCGCAAATGCAGTGGTAGTAATGGAATTACATTGTATTTGCCCATGCTTATGAAATAGGATTTTTGTGTTGAATTCATAAAAAGAGAACATCTCAATGACTTACCTTTTTCCTTAAAACTATTAATTTTGATCCAGGTGAAAAGAGTACCTTTAAATGTGGCAAATTTGGGAGGAGAGAAAGTTTTAAAATGTGAGATGAATGTGTTCAGTTTGTATTATTTCTTTTCTTCTGTTGCAGTCTTTGCCATGAGAATGGTTTCATGTTGTACCATTTCCTGCACTCCTTACAACCTTTGTCACATGAATAAGATATCAGAACACTAATGACTAATATACAGTATTCTGTGTCTGCTGATACTATACTGTACTACTGTGACCTTTGCAATATTATGTATTCTGATTGGCTGTCCATTTCACCTCTTCCCCACAAGTTAATAAGGCTGTAAAAAGGAGAGAACTTGAAATCGCCAGCCAGTCAAATTACAGAATATTGAAAAGGTCAGAGCAGTACAGCACACAGGAAAAAATTATGGAATATATGAGCCATTAAAATTCTTGTGACAATGATTATAACAAGAATGGAAAAGGATACCCATTTATGTTATTTCAATCTAGTGAACCCCATAGGATGATGGACCCAGGACAGCAGTAATTTACGCACCACTGACCCACAGGAGCTTAATTCACCTATTTACAGGGGTACTTGGTAACAGGAATGCACATCTGCTTGGGAGGCCCCTGAAAAGTGTCCACCCAAAACCCCAGAGAACCTTCAAACACAGATACTCACCAGCTAGACTGCTTAGCTTAAGCAGTGATTTTGAATGGAATATGTATTTGTGTGTCTTCTTGATCTAAGCATGTTTAAAGGGTTTAGTCTTTCTTAAGAGGTTAGAGGAGATGGTGGCTCTGAGCCCCTTCCCATCTGAATTCATCTTGTGGTACAAGTGTTTGCATGTCTTAAGTGTTGCCTGGTATGGTGAGCCAGACTTAAGAGATTTTTGTGCCTCTGCAGGTTGTTCATGTTAACTGTGTAGTGAGGGGATCTTGCTTGTTGGAGTGCTGTTATCTGTCCATGGCAGGAATTATAAGGCAGAAATGTGCAGGAATGAGGAGGTGTTCTGGTAGAAACCACTTGTCTGAAGTAAAACAATGTCTCTTAAACTTTACCAGTGTCTGAGGCAACTGCTGTTTAGATCTGCAGCAGACTTGCTGGTAAGCTACAGTAGGACCTGTGAGCAGGATGGAGAGAAAAACATGCATGAAAAATGGAAAAAGAGAGGCCTCATCCACTTATACTCACAAACTGGGCCTACACTGAGACAGTCTAGGCAGGAATGGCATGGAATGATGTGATAGGGTTATGGCTGTATCTCGTTCTGTCAGGCTGAACCTGTGTGTCTGCATTTTCCAGACCACTGAAAGCAAAGTTTAAGCAGTGAGAAGTGGCAAAGCTGCATATTGAAAATCAGCCCCAGCAAGACCTGCATTTAAAAATGTTCTTCTAGTATTCTACGTACCAGCAGCAGTAAGTTGCTTGGCTTGGAATTGGCATAAAATGCCTTTTGTCAGTGTAAAATTTGGATTAGGATACTTGCAAGTACTCCTCAGCTTTTTATTAGAAGCAATGAAAAATTTTGAACTGCTATGTTGTCTGTCTCATTGTAAATTTGTGAGTTCATTTTTGAGCTGAATAAAATGGTTATGTAATTACATACTTCTCCTAATTATTGAGTAATTATATACTTCTTATAATTGCCGAGTAATCACTCTCCTATAACTAGAATTTAATGTTACAACTAATTGTATAATTACTGTATATTAATGTTGTTATCCAGGCAACTTGGAATAGAGTGTTATCCTTTTAATTCATTTTCTGTTACTTGAAACTGTATTTTTAAAATATAGTGTAGTTAGCCACAGGAAAAAAGATTAATAATGGAATAAAAATACCAGCAGAGAAAGTACTTGGTTTCCTTCCAGGCTCAGGTGCATGAAAATAAAAATATTAACATGTTAAAACTGTAGTGTAGATCTAAAAATTTGAATTTTCTTGTTCTTGCATGATAAGAAGCTTTGCCTCCATTGCTGTTTATAAAACAGGATCTCTCAGGCTAATATAAACTTCAGTGAAATCCTAAATAAATCCATCAGGTTTCATGAAATTGTTCAACCTTCACACTACTCTAATCAGTTTGGGCTGTCTGGAGCTATGGCATGATGTAATTCAGGGAGAATTTGAAGAGTTAGGAGCTGGGCTACAAGGCAGATTTTATAAAAATAGTTTTACTAAATTGTCCCCCTCTGCAAAACCTCAGAAAGTAAGTTTTTGCCATATGTTAAGAGAAAAATAACTGAAAACACCTCTATGAACATCAAAATGATGGAATGGCTTGGACTTGCATCGTAAGTGAATCAGAATTTGTTTATAGGAATCTCAAAATTAGATGAAAGTTCTGATCATTCAGCCATGGTAAAAATGTAATGTGAGCCTGAGTGAAATGTACTGCACATCATAGAAATATGGAATATTTGAAAACCAGCTTCAGATTTAATGATATTTCAGTTTAATAGTTCATTTAAAACTTGCATAAAAATGGGTAAATCCAAGGAGTTTCCCTTAAAAAATTAATTAATAGATTGTTTTGTGTAATTCTCTCTTATTTAGGTTTTGTAGAGGACTCGGATGTGAATATTCAATCTGCTACCTGTGATTATGCCTGAATTAATTCACAATATTTGTAGTAGTTATATTCTCTTTAATCTCATTCTTGTACCTGTGGACTCAGACTTGTGTGATTCTGCTGTTGTTTGTAATACAGAATTTCCATTGACTTCACTGTGAGAGCTCTCCATGGAGTAATGGATAGTAGTAATAATATGAATAATTTCTATAGCACTTTTTGTGTTCAAAACATAGGATAATCTTTAAATGAGCTCAGCTTTGCTCTCAGATATGTGAGTGAAGTCTTCATTGCGTCAAACAAAATGTTATTTGACATACAATTTCTTAAAAAAAATTCTAGTCTTATTAGGTATTTTTGAAAGTCTGTTATGATTTTTATAGGGTACAATATTGTCTTAGCTTGCTGTGGTGTCCTCTGATGTTTTCAACTGATAAGCTGAATACTTCAAATCCTTTTTTTACCTTTGAGAGGATTGCAGGCCAAGGTGGAAAGCATGTGTTACTACACTACTATTTCTCCTGCATGCTATGGAGTTAGCTTATAAACTCCTAAAGTAAGTGATTTTTTTAGCGAATTCGAAAGGTTTTGCCAGTCTTTCGTAGGCATAAGAAGTGCCATTAATGTTTGGAATCTGCAATTATCACACAACTGTTCTAGAACACGAGTAATTTCTGAGAGCTGCCTTCTGTTTGCAGTGTGTAACAACCAACTGTGTGGTTGGTTCATGTATTGGTTCATTTGTTTTCCAAGATTTACAAGTACCACAAACTGTTGGCAAAAGGAGGAGAAACGGTGAATAATATTTTTTTTTTCCCAATAGGCCAATTTCTTTTCGTTGCGTGTTATTGGTATAAATGGCAACTCTTCACTTGAGTAGAAATAAGACTTGGTCCATAAAGGCAGGGAATTGTAGCAGATGCAAGTTCTAACATTTGTTCTTTTCCCCCCCTTCTTGTTTTTCATAACAGATAACGCTAATTATTCTATTGTAAATGATACTCGGATGTTAAGCAGCAGCAAGGAATTCAATGTATGGGTACCCATTAAAGGCTTGATTCCATTTTCTAACTACACAGTGCAAGTGAATGCATCCAACAGCCAGGGCAGCTTGATAAGTGATGCTATAACAATAGTCATGCCTCCAGGAGGTAAGTATGAAAAAGTGCTTTTTCTGTGCATGTAACAATTACACAAACACTCTGTTGAACAAAATGTTATTTATTATCGCAGCTGAGGACTGGAAGTTCAGAAGAATGTGTTTGCATTACTAGTTCTTACTAACAGAATTGTTCTTTTTGACTTCTAATTTGTCACAATTTAAAGATTTTAAAGATTCAATTTAAAGAACTAGAGAATGAAAACAGCTAGTTGTATGGTTAACATATTATGAAGGTGAGAAGTGCATTATGTATTTCTTTTAATTTTTTTCCTGTGAATGGTGGTGTATTCTATCATGGAGAGCTAATCTAGTCTAAGTATATAGAGAGACTCACCTGTATTTTATAATCTGTTTTAGAATAAGAGTTGTAAGTGCTGATAATGAACACTTACTGGATAGACATAGAGAATTTGTTTAATAATAGCAGTATAAAATATTGGCAATATATTGAGCCAAAATCCACGAAGTAGTGCAGCTGTAAGAAAGTCAGTTACAATGTACTGATTTATAGTGCATGAGGCTCTAAGCCACTCTGAATGTTATCTTCATAACATTTAGAAATAATAGAATTGAGCAAATATGCCCTAAACACGGTGCATGTTTTAATTTCTGGTTTTGGTTGGTTTTTTTCCAAGAAAGCCTACTTTTATCACTGGTATAAATGTGTCCCTTTTGCATTCTCTTTTCATGGGCATCCTGAGCAAATTAACTTTTGTGGAATAAATACTAATGGAAACATGTGAGAGCCCAGCACAACTTGATCTTGAGAGATGTGTAGGTGCAGCTGTTGAGCAACAATATGTATGGGTGACATACATATCATTTGTAAGTAAAAGAAAAGAAAAACAAAAACAAAGAAAAGAAAAATCCCATAAACCTTACAGCTCAAAAATACAATTCAACTTGAAACAGTTTGTTTGCAAACAGATGGTTTGGGTTTGGGGCAAAACCAACAGAAAGACTTTAGAAAAGTAAGTAAATAGAATACAGATTTTATATGACAGGTTACTGAGGAATAAGATAAAGCTCAATTCCTAGTACATTTTGTACTTTTCCAATGTGATTGTCAAGTTAAACCTAATATTAACAAATGTACACTGTCATATAATAATAAAACCACATCTGATTTTTACTGCTCACTTAAGACTGAGCAGTAAGATACTGGTGTTCATAATTCCAGTGTCACATTTCAATTTTGCCTAGCAAAATTTGGTAGTGAAAATTTTACCAAATGACAAAGTAAAGGATCTTTAAAGATAAGCAAGGATGTGCACAAGTTTATGACAGCCATTAAGATGCACTTTCTTTCATCATTAGATTGTTGTTGATTACAATTAGAAAACTTATAGCTTTGAAATTATCTTTTTTATGACCTTGTGGTAGTTTAAAAGCAATACCTCATTGGTTAAATAGGTTTTAGTTCATGCTTCCTTTTAGTTAATGATCTGAAAACATATTATCCTGATTTACACATAAAATCATGCTGAAAAGCATGTGGCATTCACTAGGATATGTGTGTTTAAGTAGAATTAAATTAGCACTGAGAGTTATTAAAGAAATCTTCCATACTATTGTCCAGTGGACTGTGATCTGTAGTGAAATGAATAATAAATGAAGCAGTGCATATGAGAGAAGTACTCTCACACACAGTATATTCTTGCTATATGTGTACACACATACACATGCATGTGTATATCTAGGACAATGTATGTTTGCTTTACTACGATGTGTATTATAATGACTCTTTGAATGCTATACAATTCCACTGCATGCTAAATTATGAGTATAATGGTAATTTTACACTGGGTTCTATTCAGTGTATTCACACTTTCTAAATCATTAAATGAAATCTAGATGTTTCTAAAACAAGAAGGAATTTTATTTTACCCACTTCAGTGATTTTTTTCAACAGAAGATTTGATGGATCCAAGAGTAAAAGAGGTATCATTATGTACAAATCGCAGCCTTTTAATGAGTGTTAAAATGTAGCATTCTCTTTTCAAGGATAGCAAAAAAATAAAAAGCTGTTTCAGAAATTTTTATTGTGGGGAGTACTTCATGGAGCTTGATGGAAGATTGTGTAAGAGGGAGAGTGATAGAAGACAAAGGACTGTTTCATTTTGAAGTTACTGCTGGTCACTGTTTTACAATTATGACACAATTTTTTTCCAGCATACATTTCTTTTTTAATTTTTTTAGATCTAAAAATGTATTGTACATAATATAAAGCACACCAAACCTTTAGTATTACCTGACTGACTACATCTTAATTTCTTATCAAGCTGATTTGCCATACTTAAGTCAACACTTAAAAAAACCCCTATCTTAGAAATAAGGAATTTATTTTATCTAAGATCTCAACTAAAATTGCAGTACAGGTTCAAGAGTTCTTGGAAAGATTAAAAAAATAAAAACTGAATCCAAATATTAATCCATAAATATGAAACTTTTTTTGACCCTTGCCCTGTAGTGGTCTGGAGTTACTAATGGGGTTAGGATTTCAACTCTTAATGGGACTTGGTGCATCAGTGTTTGGTATGCATAGAATTCAGCATTCAGTTTAATAAGTGGTTGACATTGGTGATGTCCCTTAATTTGCTTAAATCTAATTGGCTCTTTTATCAGTCAAACCTGTATGGATTGGCAATTGATCAGAAAGGGTCAGCCATGACTGTGCATGTACTTAAATGCTGGAACCACCAGTTAAAGTCACTGTTGCATAATAAGAAGCTGAAACCATGAGAACAAATGATCTTCAGAATTGGAAGGCAAAAGAAAGCAGAGAAGTTTTTCAGGTTGTTCAAGTTCAGAACAAAGGCATTATGGAGTATATAAATTTTAAATACACTGCTTTTTGCCTCAAGACTTAAAGCTTTTTTTTTTTCCAGATGAACTGAAATCTTGTCTGAAACTGTCTTTGTTACATCAAAGAACTGCATAGAAAGCTAAAAGAGATGGAAGAAGCATAAAAGGGCATAGTTTAAAATGATTAGTGACAAATTTCATACTGCAGAGGTAGAAGTAAATTTTTTTGAGTTGTATATTTTTTCCAAAAAGAATAAATTTGTTCTATTTATCTTGTCCTAAACTGATTTGGTAAAAGTTGTTAAAAAATAATATACTAGTCAGTGCTTCAGATTAATTTGAGGATGCCAGCCAGTAAAAGATCTGGAAAACAAATTGGTTTATGATTAATTTTATTAGGTAAATGAATTGAAGTGCTACATGCAAAATTCTGGGAGAAAGTCTTCTGCACAGAGTTCTTGGTTATGTATTTTTCTTCTCAATGTGTGCTATTTCTGATATAGCAGCACACAAAGACCCATTATCTTAGTATTGCTTTGTAATAAGGAGTGGTAAGCTAGCAAAAAAAAAAATTGCAATCACTGCTTATAATAGCCTATACTCTAGTTAAATCCATTTGTTCCCTTCCTCTATCCACCAAAACCCTGGTATGGAAGGGAGTGAGAAGTCCTCTATGCAGATAGGAAGAAGATAGATTATGTTGAAAAAATACATGCAAAGAGAAGGCTGTTGTTGAGATGGGAGGCAGGGAGGTGGAGGCTAAATCATCACTTACAAAGCACAGAAAAGACTAGATGTCCAAGCCATGACAAGAGGTATAAAGATTGCTGTGGACGGTAATTCTGTATCACATTGCAGAGTTGTCTCTGTGTGTATTCTTGTTTTGGAGATTACAAACCATTAACTTGGTGCTGACTTTTTTACAGAAAAGAGCCTCAAAGAATTGATATATATTTCCTATGTAGAACCTAAAAGGGAAGATACCCTGAGAAAAAATATTTTCCTGAGCAGTGAAGTGCCTGTTTAAGCTCTGCCATAATTTATATATGCATTTTGTTTATATGCTCTACCTGTGATTTGCACAACCTAGTGGTGTCTGCCAGTGAAGGATATCAGATTTTGCCTTGGACTCTAAGCACCTGCTCTTTGCTGGTCCCTTGTTTGTGTATGGGATGCTGCATGCCTCTGCCTATAAGCTCGGGCTTGTTGTCAGCAGCAAAAATTGAGCCTATGTACCTGTAGCTGCTGCTGTTTGTTCAATATCTACAGAAGATGGTGTCCTACAGCCAGAGGATTTCAGCCACTGTTAGTTTAGGTAGCAACACCCTTGAGACTGGATATTGAACCTCATCATAGGATGACTGATCTCATTAAGCAAACAAGTATGAATCACATCATACAACTTCACATCTGAAAGCATTTACTCATGCAAGTTGATCACTGAAGCCAGCAGACCTCCTTAGAGGAATGAGTAAACAAAGCAAACTGATGTTAGGTCAGAAATAGGAAGAAAAATCAAACCTGAATGTGCTAGAATTTTTCCTGTGAGACAGATTTATTTTTCCATTATGCTTAGTATCACGTTAGGAGTCACACCATAAAATTTATTTTGAAAGAATTTCCTTTACTTCAAATTTCAGGTATTTCTGAGACATTAGTTGTCTTCCTTCCTTCCTTCCTTCCTTCCTTCCTTCCTTCCTTCCTTCCTTCCTTCCTTCCTTCCTTTTTATAGATTGAGACCAAAATCCAATGGAAATCTTTTTGTTCTATATCTTCTGTTTCTTTTCAATTTTTCTTCTCTTACATTCTCTTGTGTCACTTCATGTGAATGTAAAAATGAAAAAAATATTGAAGTAGTTTAAAGAAAAAGCCTCCTGGTATCATTCTATTTAATTGAATGTAGAAAAAATCACATTAAACATTATTCCGAATTAACATTTGCATGATATCTGTTTAACTTCAGAGTAAAATCACTGATTTTGATGAAGAGCAAGAAATGTTTTGAACAAAAGTATTGCAAACAAGTGGACAGAAGTGAGATAGGGAGTGTTAACAGAAAGTTCTTCCTGAAAAATTGTGACCATATCTTTTCAAGAGGTAGTTTAAGAAGAGAGCAGGATAGAGTAGGGAGGGGAAAAGAGCTCTCCTACATCTCTCATCAGTGACCTAGCTAATTAAAGAGTG